TTTTTCCGCATTTTCATTAACACCAAAAATATCGAGTAAATGTTCTTGCTTTTTTTATAACTATTCAAGTAAATACAACAAATTAGGTATCATTATAAAGAGAATTTTGTGCCCTTTGAAATGATATATCACTCGACCCCACTTTCCATTTAAAATTTTAGGGTTGTTACTCACCCTCGCTAGGGGGTTGAAGGCACAGGTAGAAAAATACATCTAAAATGTGTCCCCCTCAAAAGCAAAATTGACCTGTCCGAGCATTTTTGCGTTAAGTTACAAAAAAAGGAGAAAAGCAAGGTGCATACTTTTCGTTGGACCACTCTATATGGTATTTGCATTTTGTATTCGTTCAAACGTCCGCCACAGCTTCTCAAGGTGGCATCTTCAAGAGGAAAACCGTCCTTATCGCTGAAGATGATTTTTCGATGAAAATTAGGGTTAGTTGCCAACTACTCCAAAGCCCATTCAGCGAACAGACGTCGTTATCTATGGTCGTTTACCTTCAACATATGAGTGTTGGTCGATTGTTCATTGAACCACTGGAGTTAAATTTATCAACCACATTGCAAATTGTCACATTGCAAATAGTCTTCGATGTTCCAGACTGTCGAATTTGCCAGTGATTTTTTATCTCCAATCAGGCGGATGGCTCTTTTCTGGATAGAATCCAGCAGCTTCAGTTTGATCTTTACAAATCATCAAGAATTGTTGAGGTGTGAATAGTTCAAAGGCTTTAGGAATATTGAAGAAAACAAGTAGTGAAATAGGTGATGACCTGAGTGAACTGCAATGTATTAAGTGTGGTGTACCTCAAGGTACTATTCTGGGACCTGTTCTGGTCCTAGTTTTGGAACATGCACCAACTTTTGTCAAGAATTTTCTGGGAAATCGATAATAAAAAAGTTTCCCATTTGTTGCAAACTCAGTGGATCACACTGTATACTGGAACGTGGGAGATTTTTTGTACAAATGCTGAACTGAGACTTCAAATACTTACCAGGACGTGACACAACTTTAACGACTGAGCTTAACGCATCTTTCGAAGATGAAATTCTTCTTGCTCATTGCATTTTTTTGTTACATCAAAAATTTATAATGAGATTTCATTCATTAGCTTTTCGAGTACACATTTACACTCAAAGGGACAGTCTATCTAGTAATGATTTTTCAGGTCAATGTACTGGTGGATTTTTTTAAGAAGAATAGCTGTCTGACATCCATTACTTTGGTTTCATTATATAACATTTCCGTTGGATAGTCTTGTGGCTTACGGAAAATAACTTTAAGAATTCTCTTTTGTATCATTTCCAGCGGAGACAGATGATTGGAATATGCTGCTCCCCATGCAATTATACCGTAATCAATGAGGCTTTGCACAAGGGCATAGTATAGTGTTCTCATTTGTTGGATGTTGAGAATATTATTGTAATACCTTGTTCTATAAAGCACATACCGCAGTTTCTTTACAGTGGCATTTATATGGTCCTTCCATTTCGAATGTGGATCTACAATGATACTTGAGTATTTTATATTATCTGCTGTGGATATTTTCATCACTTCCTTATCACTCAAAGTAATACTGAGGGATTTATATGTTGGAAGAAATTTTGGGTATGACGTGAAGGGAATGAAAATGGTTTTGTCAAAATTTATTGTTAGAAGACGACAACTGAACCATTGGATAACTTGTTTGAAATCGTTTTCTGCAACATTCTTTAACTCACATATTCCACACATAATGTCATCAGTAGGTCTTTCAAGCGAATGAAAATTTCGATGATATGCCACACACACAAACACTTCATTTTATTTAGATTCAAAGATAGAAACCGCTTGATGAAAGACCCTATAGTAACACAGTTACCAATGGTGGACACCTAAGTGGATTACACTGTATATTTTTCTGTTCTAAATAACGAGGCAGTAGAAATAATGTCATTTAGCGCCTTATAAATCTTATCTCCAAACTCGTTTCAGTCACTCTCTAAACAGAACCTTTTTTTGCTACGTAGATGGGGAAGCTTGGCTAATGAACGAGCGCTATTAGATATCCTCGATAGCGACCATTCCATTCTGCAACCCACATGTCTCACTCTCGCCCCTGTCAACTCCAATATCTACGCCAGAAGACATTCAGCACATGCTTATTCTGCCACCGAAGCACATGACAAGCTACAGGCTACTGTAAGTAGATCGCTCTTAGATGTAATATAGCATGCATGTATTCAAATCTATCATAAAAAGTGGATCTACTCTATTATTACTATTTCTCGCTAGTCATTTCTCGCTAGTCATTTCTCGAGAGTATAATACTATACTTATAACTATAACTATCGTCCGATTTCGATAATTTGTATATTTTCAAAGATTCTCGAAAAGATAATCAAACAGAAGTTGGCAGCTTATTTTGAGATGAATAACTACTTCCATGATTCTCATCAGTAATCCTATGTGATTTGTCGAAAGCTTTCGACTGTGTCTCTCATGATATCCTTCTTCAGAAGCTGAGTTATTATGGACTGAAAGGAGTTGCTCTACAGCTTTTTGAATCTCACCTAAAAAGTCGCTATCAAGTTGTTGAAGTCAGCAATGAGAGGTCAGAGTTGAAAACTAACATACATGCTGTCCCACAGGGTTCGGTCCTTGGACCGTTACTGTTTATCATTTACATTAATGATTTGCGCCAATTTCTGTTGCCGGAAAAGTATACTTTGATTGCTGATGATACTACTCTGCAACTACGGATGTTATCACTGGCGTTACAGGAAAAAAACAAATATTGGTTTCAGGCTAATAAGCTACAACTTATTAATGGTAAAACCCAGAATATCACATTTTGTACAAATAATTCGCTCATGGAGGACAATACCGTTAAATTATTGGGAATAACTATTGAACAGCTTAGACATAAACTTTCTAGTACGCTATTTTTACTTCGGCAATTGAAGAGATATGTTAATAATGATACACTGAAAAGTATCTACTCATATGAGTTACGGTATCATAATGTGGGGTAACTCCTCAAAGTCACTGCAAATCTTTCGACTACAAAAAAAGTCCCTGAGAATAGTTTTAAATTGTAATAGCAGAGAACATTGTCGTCCTTTATTTGTATTTATAATAATGATAATAATACGTCCTTATTCACCATGAAAGTCCAATTAAAATAAACAAAGAGAAGAAAATATTACTGGGGTTTTTTCCCAACACTTGGTGATCAAAACACGTGACGAGGTGTTAAAATAACAATTTGGTGTTGGGAAAAACCTCCAGTAGTAATCATTACTAGACCAAGGGCTCCACACAGTGTATCACAAGTAAAGCGAGGAAACAGAATACAATTCAATATAAACGTGAATAGGTCAAGTAGTAGCCAAGGCTGTTTTTCAACTCAACCTGGAAAGAGCAATCACTAAACAATAACAAAATAAGTTGAGATGACAAGATGCATCCGCTGAAGAAAATTCTTTTTTGTATAGCCAAGGTCGGGAACGGACAAGAGACTAGACAGTTAAAATGATTTGAAATCCCTGAAACAACTAAAAAAGAAGAAATGAAAATGAATAGCTGAAAATAACAATTATATTAACCAAATTAAACCTGAAATGAAATAATAGTGAAATAAAATACAAGTAAATGTCGTCAGTAATGAAATTAGTGAAAGTAAATATTTTTTTAGATTCTTCCACCGATACCATTACGTCCACCTCCGGTTCCAAAGAGAAATTTGCCTGTCACAACAGTCACGAACAAGGTAAAAATAACACCCAACAACAAGCCTGCTGAACCACCTCCACTACCACCAACACCGAAATGCCGTGCCCTTCCGAACAACCCCTTTGCCGATAAAGTAAAACCGCCCCTTCGCCAACAAGCTTCCAACGAAGCTAACAATATCAACCACAATCGAAGATTCGATGTTAACAGGAATTCCTGCCCCAAACAAAATAGTAAAGCTTTTCAGTTCGATAGTGCCAATCCCCCGCAACACCAAGACTGCAACAAAATCCCCCCAGCCCCCGTAGGACCGCCTCCTCCGGCACCAAAATCACACAAACCTAACATGTCATCGAATAAAGTTCCGGCTAATCAACAGCCCCACGGGAGGGTTTCCATACGGCAGGACTCCAGCGTTTCCAGCGACAGCTTCAGTCAGAATTCTTCGCCCAGTTACACCACGAAGACTATGGAAACCCCTCTGTTGCCTCCACGAACGCCGGTGAAACAGCAAAATGGTGGCTTGATTCCGAAAGTGAAAGACGTCGAAGATGATGCGAATGGAAATTCTACCATCACCAAAAGCGCTTCAACACCTGCTAGTTTACAGACGATCGTCAGGTTCCATAACGGTTCCAATATGTCTTTACATCACAGGGTAAGTCCCACCACGAAACAGAAATGCAGGTACATTGTAAAGGTGTTCCATTCGAATACTGGAAAAGGAGAGTATAGAGGTATAGAAATTTAATGGAAAGTTTTAGAAAAAAGAAGGGCCTGCCTATCGTTCAACGCTATTATTGAACGAACTATGCCTGGTCATAGCAGATTCGTATGCCTGTTTCAGTGTACCAATGGAAAGCTTTGAGTGCCTCCTGTTGAGACTTGTTCAACAGAAATAAATGTTTCAGATCATCAGAGACATACGTCGTCCGTCATCAGTCTACGCACATAGACTGAAATTTAGATTTGCTCAACTAGTGATCAACGCTTTAGCACTTTTTGCCATAGGGGCTGGAATGGCAGTTTATTTCAAAGGTATTGTGACCTAATAATTACTTTTATTTTTGTTAGTAACGGATTCAAGGAGCGATAGAAAATGAAAAACTATATATTCATACACTGTTCCAAAGTTTGTTCTACGAAAGCGTTGAAGGGCCACACAAAAATATTTTTTTTCGATTTGTATAATTCTGACTTTCATCTCAGAATTCTGACTTGTATCTCAGAATTCTGACTTGCAAGTCAGAATTCTGACTTGCAACTTAGAATTCTGAGATGAAAGTCAGAATTATACAAATCGAAAAAAATACTTTTGTGTGGCCCTCCTTGTATAATTCTGACTTTCATCTCAGAATTCTGACTTGTATCTCAGAATTCTGACTTGTATCTCAGAATTCTGACTTGCAACTCAGAATTCTGAGATGAAAGTCAGAATTATACAAATCGAAAAAAATACTTTTGTGTGGCCCTCCTTGTATAATTCTGACTTTCATCTCAGAATTCTGACTTGTATCTCAGAATTCTGACTTGCAAGTTAGAATTCTGACTTGCAACTTAGAATTCTGAGATGAAAGTCAGAATTATACAAATCGAAAAAAATACTTTTGTGTGGCCCTTCTTGTATAATTCTGACTTTCATCTCAGAATTCTGACTTGTATCTCAGAATTCTGACTTGCAAGTTAGAATTCTGACTTGCAACTTAGAATTCTGAGATGAAAGTCAGAATTATACAAATCGAAAAATATATTTTTGTGTGGCCCTTCAACGCTTTCGTACATTGATATTGCACTGTTACAGTTAAACTGTAGTTTTATGGGGCAAACCCCCGAAACATTCAGAAATTAGAAAGTGGATCAAGGAACTAATTACCTATGGAAAATTGCCCCTGAAAACATACTTCGAACACTATTTATATTCCTGGAATAACAAATAATAAACATTTTTCAATGAAATTTCCCAAAACAGTTTTTCATTCTTTTTGAGACACCTCCAGAACATGGTTTTTTGACGCGTCAACTGCTTCTTCGGTGCTCGTAAATCGTTGACCACGCAGTTCACCTTTGATATTCGGGAAGAAAAAGAAATCATTGGGTGCCAAATCAGGACTGTACGGAGGATGAGTTATTATTTCCTCACGCCATTTGACGAGAGCCCTTTTTTGAGCGATTGATAAATTATGGGGTATCCAACGAAAACATTTTTTACAACTAAGTGGTCAAGCAAAATCGAATGTATCGAAGTGGAACGAATGTGCAAGGATGCCTCTATCTGACAATATGTCACATGACGATCTTGCATTATCAGTTTAGGCACTGCGTCGATGTTTTATGGCACAACAACCAATTTTGGACGACCTTCACGGAATTCGTCTGCGACCGAACTACGACCACGATTGAATTCGCTATACCAGCGATATACTATGGTTTTTGATGGTGCTTTATCTCCATAGAAAGAACTGAGTTCATCGACGCATTCTTGTTGAGATAATCCATGTCGAAAGTTGTGAAAAATAATCCAACGGAAATCTTTTCTTGAAAATTCCATTTTTTTATCAAATTGATTTTCTCAACTCACTGTAAACGAAACAAATAGTCATTAATACTAATTGTTATTGAAGGGGCAGTTTTCTATGTGATCAACTCTCTAGCACATTCAATGTTGCACTAAAATCCCACCATGAATCATACAGCAATCGATACAATTCCAGCTTATCCCACTTCTGTGAAAATAGTCAACAAATCCATAAACGTAACGACCACTCCGATCGTGATCGAAAAAAAAAGTGACAACCCAGCTCCGGGCATTTGTCTCACGGTCATCGTTCAATTCTGCAAGCAACACGGAATACCATACAACTTCACCGTGTTCCCAAATTACATAGGACACTTCGGGCAGAGGGACGCCGAACAGGAATTAGAAGTATACGAGGCCGTAGTAGACGTCAAGTGCTATGACTTAGCGGCGCTGTTTCTATGCTCGCTCTTCGTACCGAAATGTGGACCATCTGGTGGAGTGGTACGACCCTGTAGGAGTTTATGTTTAGGTGAGTACTTTACTACTTCTTTGAACAAGGTCGATGGAAATACACATTGAATTTCCAACTAACGTCACTTGTTATTGATCTGCTTTTTGAAGGTTGGTGTTGTTTTTTTTGCAGAAACAAAGAGGAGGTGCGGGTTTTTCCTGGACGTATTTGGCCTGGCATTACCGGAGTACTTGGACTGCGAACTTTTCCCGGAATCAACTAATCCCAACCTGTGTGTCGGACATCACGAAGTCAAGCAAGCAAAACTACATGAAGCCAGACCAGGTAACACTGCATGTTTTATATATTCAGAATTTTCGAATCTGAAATTCAAGAAAATGGGAGCATCATGAATATCAGCAATTATTGATTATGCTCATTTTCAGAAAATGTTGAAGAAAATTAAAAATAATTTGATTTGACTTAGTGTCATTATAATTACAAGAGATAATGGTCTTGCAATCCGGTAAATTGTAAAACGTACTGAAAATTATTATCACTTCCCTGTCGCTTACAAAAAGTGCTATAACAATATGTTCATATGAATTGTTTTCTAACAAACTTTCATGTTGAGTTACAGTTGTAACCTTAAATTACATATTTATTAGACGTATGACATATCATATGTCATACGTCCAATGTCTAGTGTCAAATTGATACTCTTCCTCAATAATTGTTTCTGGGTCATTGTGTTTTCGAAATCGGTATACTAATTAACATTTTGAAAATATTACTGATTCCTTTTTTGAGCTATTACTTCTCAGCGTATGCTGTAACATGTTTATCAACACTTCAATTTTCATTCAAAACTCTGGATTACATTCCATATTGTTTATTGTTGTGAACATTTATCGCGATCAGTCTCATTAAAATATGATATTTATTCTCGAAATATATTTTTAATGCTTGTTGTTTCTCCCAAAAAGTTTCCAACATCCAAATCACTACAAACAATTGAAGTTTAATTGAATAGAACTGGCAGATACTTGATGAAAATCCATAATGAAAAACCAATCAATACAGTTAAGCATGAACAGTTTATGCTTGAGGAAGCTATTTTATAGCGAAACACGTGTTGCGGTTTTTGTAAAACCCTTTTATAGTGAAAATCATTAAATTAACTCTATTGATTAGTTTTTTAATAAAAGTTCAACTGATTGTTCTCTGCACATGGAAGATGTTTGAGAAAAACTATTATTGAAGGTCTTTATTAACACGATGGAGCCCAAAACTAAAAAAAATATGGCTCTTCTTTGGCACCCCGAAAAAAATCATAATATAAGAAAAATTGGAATCAGTACAAAGTATGGCCTCCACGCTGGTTTATTACGGCTCTACATCTATCGTACATCGACAAAATGAGATTGTCAATGTCTTGTTGAGGTACATTTGCCCATTCAGCGATTAAAAGCTCTCTCAATTGAAACGTTGTGTGAATGTTCCCCATATGCGGAGTAATTCTTCGTTGAAGCATGTTTGTATATCTGTATTTCAATTTCGCTGTATATACTTGTTGCACTGTTCTTGAACGCATACTGTTTTTTTTGTTTTTCTTCCTTTTTCTTTTGTTCTTACGCTTGGATCGAAAAGCAATCTCTGCGATGATTTATCATACGCAGATATTGAATCCTGCCATTCATCAATAAAAGCCATATTTATTATTATTATTGAAAAACATGAGTTCTTCTTCACGAAATTGTACCCCCTTTAAATCTGAGTATGTATTTGTATTTCCGTTTCCTCAGAAAACTCTTGGATTTACTTCTCAGGCTCACCCTGAACGTCGCGTCGCAAGGGAAAGAATTTCTTAGCGAACGACGTAAAATGCCGAGCAAGCAGAAGCAGAGCGACAGAAATGATTACCTTCGCGTTTTCGCCTACTCCATCGGTTGATCATCACAGAATCCGTGGGTAAATAAAAACTGAGCTCAAAGATTTCTGATTGCTGTTGGTGTTTGCGAACTGTATTTGTCCAAAACGGATCGAGTAATTCATCTGGTATCAATCTGAATATTCCTTTAGAGTCTTACTGCGAATTTTCTTTATATTCCTCTGGAGCACAAGACTATACGTGGACTGTTTGAAAAATGGGAAGGAAAATACTATGTATGTATGGTGATAACGACATGTTTTACACAGTACACTCTGGAGTAATGGTAGTGATGGTAGAACAGGCTTTAGCTAGAAGACAGCAAGAGCTCCACAAGGAAGAGAAGCCACCACAACCAGAACTTGTACTTCCTTACATCAGAGGATTGTCAGAGAGAATAAGAAGGATTGGGTCCAAGTATAACATCAGGACCTGCTTCAGATCTGTAGCAGCCTCACAAAATCAGGCCACCAAACGCAGACTGCGATTCCAAGAATTGCATTTACCGGATACCCTGCGAGTGCGGAGAATCATATACCTGTGAAACTAAGAGGCCATTGAAAGTTTTCATTCGCGAAAGTTCGCAAAGTTCGCGAAGCCCGCAAATCGGGAATAGCAGAGCATGATTGGACTCATCAACATAACATCAAGCGGGCACAAGCTGAAATCATCCACAAAGAGGAACACTGGTTTAGGAGAAAACTCGAAGAAGCCGCGTATATGTTGTCCAACAATGCGTTTAGTCAAGCTAGCGTAGAGATACGTAACATATGGAAACCTCTAATCAAGCGGAAAACGATCAACTCTCGCCAAAATGTCATCTCCTGCTGAAACCAATGAGCGAAGGGGGGAAGGGAATAGGTGAAAGCACTCGAATGACCTATAAATAGTCAGATTTCGGATGAATGAGTTCACTTATCACCCGAAGACGATTGTGGATACTAACAATCGAAACGTAGTGACGTAACTGGTTTGGAATCTTTTTTTAATTTTTTGTTTAATAATATTTTTTAATTTTTTAGCTTGTATTTTTTGGTTGATCTTTTTAATTTTTTTACAGATTGTTTCAGGGATTTCAAATCAATTTATATTAAATTAGACAATGTAAGTCCGAACTGATGAAATACACCACGAAACATTGTCAACCACCTTCAAACAAACGGCAGTTTGTTTGAAGGTGGTGCAGTTTGTCTCTTCAATAGAAGACCAATCAAGCCCGGTACTGGCAGGTCCAAAGGCCTGAACAGCTGCCTATCAGTTGGCACTTTGAATTCAAGGAAAATTGTGGTCGACCAGAATTTTTTTTTTACATAAAAAGTTACTTTTTAAAAGTATTTGAGAAAGAATCATCGATGGCTACCTGTGAGGAAATATTTTTACCGATCTCACAAGCCATATTTCATTTAGACACGGTCAAATGCCCTAAAAATATCATCTGAGACTACCCATGTATTTCGAAATGTTGAAAACTTCCAAATATTCAACAACTTTCTCCGTGCTTTTTGATAGCATCAAGAGCAGTGCAACTGAACTGAATTTTTCATTCCATTCCAGATACATTGTCTTCCAATAAGAGACAGTAACAGTTCTTGTGTGTGGAAAACATGTCTTCTACCTCTTTCTAATCATACTTATATTTGCTCATTTCAGGACGTTGGATTTGAATCGCTGGAGATTGAATTTATTTCGTTCTCAGAAAGTTTATTTCACATAAAAGCAGTTCTCCAAATGGAAGAGTTCTCAAACAGTGAAGTTCGAGGTGTACTGAGTTGAACCTCAAAACGATGAACAGCCACTGTCCGTCGCGTATTTCTAATATGTACCGCTCTTGGTAGAATCAAATGTGCCAAGTAACTTGAACACATCTCGTGAAAGTATCTGAAAGAGACGTGGATTTTTGGAATTTCTTCCTGACGTTTCCCTGGCGCGAATGGCTAGCTTCTTCAGATGACTTCCGATGACTACCTTTTCGGCTTCGTAAAGCGTATTTATGCCTTGTCAGTTGTATTGGTACGTGTATTTGTACCTGTACTTGAACCTGGAACATTAACAATCTTGCTGCCTGTTGTCATTCTGTTCGTTATTCTCGAATTCATTAAAATGAGGTTCCATATTCGATTGAGGTTCACCGCTTCTTCTTCTCTGTTAAAATTCTCCGTGTTTGTGGATCTCTATTGCCTCCCGTACCAGTCGGCTATAGTTTCCCTGGTTGGGAGCAATTAGTTCTGTGTTTTCAAACAAAATTATGTGGTCTCCTTCACTAAGCGCGTGTTCTGCCACAGCTGACTTGTCCGCTTAGCCTAGTCTGCAGTTCCTTTTATGCTCTTTCAGTCTCGTTCCCATGGATCGTTTGGTGATTCGGATATATACCTTCTCACAAGTGCACGGTATGCGATAAACCTCTGCTGCTGATAATGGGTCTCTTTTGTCTTCGGCCGACCTGAGGCTTTGTTGTATCTGCCTCGTGGGTTTGAAGACTGTTTCGATGTCGTGTTTATTCAATAGTTTTCCAATTCTATCCGTGACCCTAGGGATAAACGGTAGATATGCACGTGCAACCATCTGATCCTATTTCGCTTTTTGAATAGTGGTGCTCTTCGGTTTCATGGCTTTCCTGATTTCGGAGCCACTGTATCCATTCGATCTCAAGGTCATCTCAAGGTATTTCAGTTCCCTCTCCAGATGTTCTGGTTCACATATTCTCCGAGCCCGTTCCGTTAGAGTGGAGATGACTCCTCTCTTTTGGCTAGGATGATGGTTCGATAGTGCGTGCAAGTCTGAACCATTTTGTTGCACGTGATGTTCGCGTCTCCAATCAGGCAGTTGACTCTTTTCTGGATGATATCCAGTAGCTTCAGGGTATGCTTCGGAGCGGAGCTCCATTCATGTGAACAATTCCCAAAAAAAAGTTCTGACCTGAGCTTTATAAAGCATCAAAAGTTGCTGAGGTTTATACAGTTTTCTGGTTCGGAACAGTGTTCCAAGCTTTTGGGGAACAGCCTTTGCAATTCCAGTGACATGATTGTGCCAAGACAAGTTTGTCCCCAACAAACTTATCGAAGCAGAAAGTGAAATTGTCTGTCCTGATATCCGGTTCGGAGGCGTTTATCTTTTTGTTGAAAACCGGTACCTGAGTTTTTGTGGCATTGAATTGAACCTGAATAAAAAATCATTCCTAGATCCTCATCAAGATATTGAGCCTACTGCTGCCTGTGAAGATGTGCCTCCCTAGTCGATATCCTGGAATCCAAATGGAATGACGAGACAAGGGTTCTGTCGTCAGCAAAGCAATATATTGGTCGCCTATTGATCTTTGTTTAAGAAAGCTATATTGATCGCTCAAGATGTTGAAGCCTTCCAAATGTTCAACAGTATGATGATTTGCGGCTTTCCTCATGGTTTTAGATATTACTGA